CCCCAAAACCCCAAAACCCCAAAACCCCTCTTTACTAATGACTGGTTGAGATTTATTTATGAAAATTCGTCCCTTCTGCTTTAGAGTATCTACTGAACAATTCTTTTGATCTGACCTTCACACCCATGAAAATTTTGGGATTTTTGTCAAATTTCGCTCTGTAAAATTTCTCAAGATAGAGCTAGAGATTAGGCTAGGGTTTACTTTGTTGTCCAGATCCACTTTAAGTGGCCAGCTTATCTCCTAAAGACTTATGACCGGAATTACATTATTAGTGGGATGCATTATTTCTTGAAATCTTGGAGTGCAATGATACCTTTAGGTATAATTATCTTACAAAAATAGTCATGACATCCAAAGCACCTTAATAAAAGCAAATATTTAGGTCTAAAAATACTTGAAGCTCTTTATCTCTGAGCAATAGGGGTATGTACTATCTAAACTTCCTTGGCTAAAGCCTCCATGGGCGATAATCTGTCTTCTTACATGTATGTGTCCAGTCTAAAGATCAGGGCAGCCTCTTACCAGAGATTTATGTAAGCGATGTACAAGTGTGGTGGTTTATGTGCTTTACTTTTCGAAAGTTCCTGATGAAACTTCAGTTGCTCAATATAATCCTCTAAGGAGTTAGCCGAAGGTTACTTCTAATTTGACGGAAAATTTTGAACACCTTTTTATCCTTCTGAAGACTAGTGATAGCATCGATCTGAGTGACCTCTTCAGGATAAACCTCGTGCGCATTTTTGAGATTAATGTATCCTTCTGATAGGTTCTTTAAGATCTTTGACATCTGATTGACCTCGAAGTTATTGATTTCTTCAGAGAATTCATCAAATTTTGCACTAAATTCCTCAAATCGTTTATTTTTAAGCGCCTTGTAAAGGCATACATGTGCTTCGAAAGTTGATTGGCAAGGGATAAGTGGGTCCTACAACTGATGTTCCAGTGGCTTACCTTTCCTCTATCAGCAAATTTTGTATAAACTCCTGGTCTATATACCCATTAGGTCATTACAATTAGACATTTGCTTACTTGTAAGGCTCACTTGGAGGAATCGCCAATTTGTCTTTGTGAAATAAGAGATTCTTCTTTGGATTCTTACTGTAATTTTGAGGATAGGCCTCCTTCATTGGGTTAAATTTGTGCTTGAAGAAAGGAATTTTTCTCATTTTTGAAGTCTTAACCTTATGCTAAAATTACTTAATTATCTTGCTTAGAAGCAACCATAAAATAGGTCATCCCTTATATAAAGGATGATTAGCAAAGCTGAAGGCAAGGTGTATCAGTCTAAATAAGCATCTGCCGTTACTTTTACCTTTACCTTTACTTTTAATTAATAATTTTATTGGGGTTTTGGGGTTTTGGGGTTTTGGGG